ACCATCATGTCTCGCCGCCGCTTGGACGAGACATGACAAGAATTCATACTAACCACTCGAATAGTAACTGGCAAGCTCCTTTGCTCCTGCATGGTTACGCCCTCCCTTCAGAGCCTTGACAGAATGCTTTTCGTCTGAAGACATTTTAAGGGTAGTTTCGCCTGACAAGTTTAACTTGCCCAACCCACTGACTAAAGTGCATGGACCTGTTCCGCGTACATGTACACTCAATAGCCTAGCCTGGCGCGACCGGCGTTTGTGCATTACATGGACTGTACGATCATAGTACGATCACGTCATTGGCAGGGCAGACGTACTAGTTCTGTATGCGCACGCGCTGTACCATTATCTTTGAACGCCCTCTCGAAAACAAAAAATGCCGGCTGATGGTAGACTGGTTCCCATCCGATACGTAGTCTCCAATCGAGTCGTACGTTCAGAGGCCTCCTAACGAGTAACGTAGGGACCGGTAGCTGGTAATGATGAATGAATTTATGTAAATTTGAGGAAACAATGCCCACTCCAGGGTTCAATGAGTAAGGAGGAGCTGATACACGTAGCATAGTTTGCTTTTTCTTCTTCGTTACCGGAAAACTTCACCATGGATTGTTCATTTATATAAAATTTAACACAATAACCATTGATTTGAAATAAATGCCGTAAAATGATTTATTGAGGAAAATAATTGAAAAATATATTACTTTACTGTGATCAACAGTGGTGTAGAAAGGATATGTACTTGTGTTTTATCCGTTTCTTGCTGCAGCGTCATTGGTCTGACAAAAATTTAAATATTCATCCAAATCCAAATATTCATCCAAATTAACAGGCTAATCGCGCACGTTAAACCGAGCTAGCTATCGGTCCCCATATAATAGGGACGGGGACCAGTCCAGGCTGATGGGGGGGGGGCAGCGCGGTTGTGGAGAGGCCGTGGAAGACTTTTCTCTATGGGAAGTCACATGCCGATGGGAAAATGATTCTTGAAAGGAGACTACTCCTCATGCGCCGTGGAAGCTTCCCTCGTTGAAAAGACTTCAAATCCCTTTGAAAAAAATCCGCCTTTCTTCGACTTTCGAGCCACTTTTGAGTTTTCCAAGTGTGTCGAATAAAAAAATATTGCTCCCGGCCCTCTGCCTTTGGTTCAAACACCATATCTTTCATTCAGACGGCCTTGGTCGCACAAGTCAAACCATGATTCTACCTCCATGGTCAAACTATGGATGCCTGTAGTTGGCGCTCGAACTTGCTCATGGCATCATTTATGCAACGAATTACGAACTGCGCTTGGAATTCTAGGTTTAGTTTCAGCCCCTTTGCTCCGTTGTTTTTTGTCACACTTCTTCGGGTGCTTTTCTTGAATTGTATCCCCCCCCCAAAAAATATATATTCCTTGGTCCTCAGTGGCTACGGTCGGAAATGCACTTAACATGTGTGTCTACGTCTCCGAGGAATTCGTAGCCAAGTAACTAGATCGATCCACTTCACGTACGTACCTCCGGGCCGTGCGCATCGACGTATAGTGCGTATGATATGTACGAACGAAAATAACACGTTTTTATGATCTTGTCCCCGCCGCGCCGCCTCGCTACTTCGTTCATCATCGTTGTTAAATGCAAGCTACTTAAAACTTAAACCAGCCACAGGGCGCCAGCCTAGGCTTAGGTCTAGCTGCGGCTAGGTCTATTATTCGTGCGTCTCCACGTATTTCCAATGGGATGAAGACCTAGCCCGAGCTAGCTCTAGACAACACAGCTTTGGATGCAGTGAAAATGGAGAAGGGGATGATTCTGGAAGAACAGTTCCTTGTGGATAATGATGAAAATGCTTCAAGCAGGTAAACTTTTTTCCCCTAATAATATGCGGCTTTGATGAATGGACTAGTCATTCAGTCTTGGTCAATAGTTTGATTCATAGGGGTTTTGAAACTGTTCCTAAATTGGGGTAGCAAAATGCTTGACGAAAATGAACACGATTTGATGCCAGCGCTAGAGTTGTTGCCCGGTTTCCGGACTCACGAAGTCTATACTGAAGGCCTAAATATGGGCGCATTTTATAAAGAAGGTTGTGTTGGTCGTAGACTTGAGCTTATTTAAAAGAAGTTAAAGATAAATTAATGCCAGGATATGTAACATGACTGTGCTATAATCGTGATCATCATGATAGGCCTAGCTCACGTTGGACGACCTCTAGGCTCTACTCTCTACGTCTTTACAACTAACGTCCAGGAAAGTCCTTAAACTATGCGAAATTTTTTTCAACACTTTTTTCCCACATTGTAACCTGAGAAAGACTGCTCAAAATGTCGTTCAGAAGTGCCTTGTATCCTTAATTCCATAAATGCTGTGTTGAAATCACTAAATACGCCAGCGAACAATGTATTTTGGAGGAAATTCTGTAAAACTCCACGCTTTCCTTCGCGGTTTGTTAATTAACAACCTATGTTCGTGTGTTAGTATGCATTTGCGCGTGTGCAAAATGGCCTCCAAGCTCAGCCCACATTCTGACAGTTATGCATGTTGTCTAGAGCTAGGTCTAGGTCTTCGCTCCATTACAAATACGTGGAGACGTGTAGACAATAGACCTAGCCGTATATTTGCGAGCCCATTCAGACACGATCTCATCTGTGACTTCATCACGCCCACGGCTCGTCCGCGCACGCGTAAGGGGGTCTCCGTTACCATGCATTTCGCGCATGTGCAAGTACCCGTGCTAGATGAACGTATACTATACATTATGTCAGGTACTTGAATGTGGATGGCGAATCGCAACAGAAAGTGTGGAGTTTTGCAGAATTTCCTCCAAAATACGTTGTTCGCGGACGTATTTAGTAATTTTTACATAGCATTTATGGAATTCAGGAGACAAGGCACTTGTGAACGACATTTTGAGCTGTCTTCATCAGGTAAAAATGTGAGAAAAAAGTGTTGAAAAATTTTTTGCATAGTTTAAGGACTTTCCTCCCCTGGACATTAGTTGCAATGTAATGTAGACGTTGTCCAACCTGGGCTAGATAGGCCGGCTAATGCCATTTTTTAAACAGTCTCTTTCATGTCTTTTACGTCAGCTCTGTTAGTGAGTCAGAATCAGATGGTGAAGAAAAGTCGAAGGGAAAGGAGAGCATTGAGCCAAGTGCTGATGAGCTAAATGCCAGAGAGCATCGCCATCGCAGTAAAAAACGCCACAAACACCATCGCCACCATCACCGGAAGAAGCACCGGAAACACTCCAGCGAGCGAGATGACCACCGACATTCACGCCGCCACAAGCACAAACATAAGAAGTCGTCACGCAGCAGCAGCAAGTCCAGCAGCCGTCCTGATGGGAGGCGGAGAGCGCACAAGCGGGAGGGCGTGGTCCCGTACACAGCAGAGGAGGAAGGGGAGGAAGAGGAGGACGGAGAGGACACTGCCGCCCTGGCCGACCTGGAGAAGCAGAAGGAGCTCTTACAGGCTGAGCTCTTGAACGACCTCGGCCTGAACAATGAGGAGGAACTCAAGCAAGCCTCTGGCATGGCCATCATTGCCAAAGGCTACGTGTCGTCAGACGAGGAAGGTCAGGTATCAGAGGGGGACACCCGAGCTACGGAAAACTCCAAACAGCAAGAGGACTCGGATGATGATGTGGTCATCGTCCAAGAAATACGGGGGAGCACAAGGAGACATTCTAAACGAGGCGCACGGTCAAAGTCGCCAGAAGTTGACCGAAAGAGAAACAGCACTGATAGGTCAAAAGACTCAAGGAGGAGGAGGAGCATCAGCCGTGATCGCTCTCTGAAAAAGAGCCACTCTCGCTCGTCCCCGAGCACTTCGCCAAGGAGACAGAGGGACAAAACTGACACGTCCTCAGATCGGGTGAAGAGAAGCGAGCAGTCCTCTAGCAGGCGGATCTCAAAGAGATCCCGAAGTAGATCCCGGGACAGAAAGCAGTTGGCCTCTCCCATAGAGGTGGATAAGCCAAGCTCCAAGAGGAGTCAGTCTCCGAGGAGAAGCAAATCACCAAAAAGGCGCAGGAGCAGGTCACCAAGAACATCCCCAAGGCAGAAGAGTCGAAGTCGGTCGCCTCGAAGGAAACCAAAGTAAGTGGTCATTTATTATATATAACGGGTTTGCCCTTACCCAA